CAGGGAATAAAACATGCGGCATTAGAAAGAAAACTAAGGGAAAAGACCATTTATTAAGAATGACAAATCCACTAATCGGAAAGGCTTGACATTAGGTATAGGGGGTTCGGTAAGCAGATACTGACATACATTCGGAAGGAAAGTCACAAGAAACTACGATAAAACGCGTCAAAAATAAGCCAAAAAGTCAGATTAGCATATGACCATGTAGATAAAGGAAGTGAAAGTTTTGAAGGCACATTTCTGAGTCCACACTCTCGACACTGTACAGACACACATATGGAAGCAGACGTAAGTTACTTCCTTCGACTGAACACTGAGGCCGCTTCCTTCTCATCTAAGAAGGTTGCGGGCCTCTTGACTAGGGCCGACAGTAGGGCGACCCACTCACTTCGATCAGCCTCGGAGTTGGCGCAAAAGACGAAAGACCTGTTTGGTGTGCAGACTGTGAAAGGAAACTCCGTTGGGCACTTCTTCCAATCGTCCGGAGCCTTCTCCATCACACTGAATCCCTCCTCTTCTGAACCAATGAATATCTCACCCTTAGAGAAGGCCGATTGAGGATCGTTTGCGTAAAGCAGGCGTCGCCGGTGCGTGAGCATTAGCCAACGCCTTCGGAAGGTGTAGCTGGAGTCCGGTCCTCCCTTTAAAATCCAACCCACCTTGTCTAGGTCAAAAGTCAGGAGAGGAACTATCTCCATTGGTGATGTGTTGCAGCCAGAACCTGAGAGGTGCAAACGCAAGCGCTGATACTTGCAGAGACGTAAAGTATTGTACCAGTTTGAGATCTCACGACTGTCGTCCGAACGCAGAAAAATGTGGCGCGTAGAATTATCCTGCAAAAATTGCACCAGAGCAGTGTGTGGTGGTAAACCGAACTGGTCTGGATCGATAAATGTCATATTACAACGCTCCAGATCAATGCTCTCCTTCGGGTCGGGGTCTGTAGTCTTGACAAAGTACTTGAGAGAATTGGTGGTGCCGTTAATTTCGAAGAGGCGTGGCGAAAATTGTGACAGGTCGCGCAATTTTTTCAGCAACATGCCGCTCTTAACGGGATTGGTAAAATCAGCCTGTAGACCACTGGCAGATGCTCCTGGTGCAAATACCTTCTCGATGTACTTAAATTGAGCAAAATACTCGCGATAGAAGTCGGGGCAGGTTGGACCAGGCCATGGACGGCGGAAAGATAAGGGGAGTTCAGCCTCCAGCTCGGCGTTCACTTGAGCGTTACCCCTCATGGACGACAGCAACTTCGCTAGTACTGTCTGGTCAGCTGACTTGAGGAATGCAAGGGATCTCCATCCGCCACCTAATTTAATATGAGTTTCTAAT